CGTCACTCGCGTGTGTTCCCCCCCCGCGTGATGCAGCGCGCGCGTGGCTAACTGTTAGCTTATAGTGCCAGCATTGTGTTCTCCGCTGGGAACCACTTCTGGAACTTGTGAGATATGCTAGTACATTTGCATTCGACTGCTTTTTGTTGTCATTTCCTTATTGCACCTCGTACTTGTAGCTCTGTATGGTTATACATATAACTGTTGAGTGAAACTTCTCATAAGAACGTGTAAAGATATAAAATACTAGTTTTAAGATATTGTTTTGACAGTAATTTTAATTAAGCATTTTGCACTCATAACATGACATCACACCTTTTATCCCCGAAGGGGTAGGCAGAGGTGCACATTACGGCACTTAATGCCACTGTACAATGTAACACCCACTTTTCACTATCTATGTTATAAGTCCCATGTAATAGGGGGTGAGCCTATTGCCATATACCGGGCACATTTCCAGACTCCGTGCTACTACTGAGATTTTTAAAAACCCAGTAATACTTTGCCCGACCCGGGAATCGAACCCGAGACCTCTTGACCAGCAGTCGCACTTGCGCCCACTCGGCAGGTATAGGCAGGCATTTTGCACTCGTTTTAACAATTACTTTATTATAAAACAAAAATAACAACGACATTGTGTAGTTTCGTGCAGTGAGTGCTCACAAACATTTAGTAATTTATACATTTAATTATCTGTTCTGAAAACGTTTTACTCCGTTTAACAAAATCTACATTTGGGTAACTTACCGCGCAGTCACGACGCGCGTGAGATTTACACACACGCAAATAAAAAGCGAACTTCATCTTAATTAGGAACTCGTATATTTGTTTATTTGTAATGTGGATTTTCTACTTTTTTGTAATGGGTGAAAAAAATCCAAGACTCTTCGCGCTATGAGTGAGGCGAGAAGGAGTGTCAGACTCTTACTGACTAATAACCACCCATTCCTACTCCTGGAGCTGAGTTGGAGCCCCGACAACGCGTTTGATTGTCCGCAGCTCCGGGTGTATAGATAGATCTTATGGTTGAGTTACAATTGACAATATTACGAAATCTAGTTGTTCCAATGTTTAGTTGTCCGTTATGTAGATAGTAACAAGTCTGCTGTCAGTTGTGTGTCCGATAGCGTTATGTTAAACACGTCACCCTGCCGCGTTCACAGAATGAATTGTAAGCCACAAACAGACAGACAGTACTAGACTGCACTCACTGAACACCTGACGAGGTTGTGGGTGTTTCGATTCAGGTGCAAAGCAAACTATATTCCGAATGTTTTCACCTAGTTTGGTCTACTTCGTATTTGTAGTATTTTAATTTAAAAGCATCAAATCATCAGGCTGATGCGTAACATGTCGCAGGTTCGATTCCTGCACCAAACAATTCTTTGTGTGATATAAAAATTGCTGATCTTTGACGATGGAGGGCGGGTCGTGTTATGATATATAAATATACATATGTACCTAAACTAACTAATGTGTGTGTAGTTAGGGTAAGTTCGCCATGAATGTAAGATATTTAAAATGTGAAAAGTTCAAACAGATGTGCTGAATACCACTCATATGGTGATAGTTTTTGTTTAATGTGGGAAGGCTCACTCGTATAACCTTACCTCAAAGCATTCCTTCAACTTTACAGCACTGATTGAATATCTTTTATTGAAGACGGTTTATGGCGCCCTTTATACACATACTGGGAATAGGAGATAACTAATTTATTATATTACCGCAGTGGCCGCTGAAAGGATGCCGCTGATGGTTCGAGATTGCCATCTTATTGTACAGAAGCTCGTCAAGTGAGCCTAGTCTGCAATAGATTTTTAACTTTACGATGTCGTATTAAAGTTTAAGTTGTCGTAGGAAAATATTTTTTATTATAACTAATTGTAATTGTAAGTAGTTATCGCTTCAAATGCGGTAGTGAAGTGTAAATAAGAAACATAACATAACATCACGCCTTTTTATCTCCGAAGGGGTGGGCAGAGGTGCACATGTAAATAAGAACTGAAGTAGTATTTTAGTAACCACATCGTGTTTACAAGAAATGTATGTTTCTAAGATATTTCAAAACCGAGCTGTGCTTTTGAAGTTAAGAAACAATTTTTTTTTATAAAAATAACATTGGAGAGTCAGCATTTATGTTAATTGGCCCAAACTTCTTTCCATCATTAAGATGCATCTTCCTTACACAATTAGGTTTAGGGATGCGGAAACCTCAAGGTTAACCCTTAAGCCTGCCAGTAGTTAGTGCAACACGGTGTGATAGTGGTCATCAAACCGAAACAGTTATCACACCGTTAGTCGAGCCTAGGACATTACTCTGTAGTTACGTGTAGTAAGCTGACGACACAGGAAGTCACTCAGTTCTCACGTAACACTAGAGTGCGCGTGCGCAGGCACATGGCATTATCGTGCGCAAACTTGGTGACAAGCTGTCAACTCCTACGCACTGGAGTGATGCGTTGTGCCTCATTCATTGAACATTTAAACTAAGTGTCTACTTTAAGTAATGTTTTGATTGTGTTACGGCCGTTTTCACCAACCACACGTAAAGCGTCTCCTACTAAAAGAGACTACTACTACTGAGATTTTAAAAAACCCAGTAATACTTTGCCCGACCCGGGAATCGAAACCGAGACCCCTTGTCCGACAGTCGCACTTGCGATCACTCGGCCAACGAGGCAGTTTAATTTACATCTGGGTACTTAATACTTATAAACTTACAAAATTCCATTCATCAATATAGATCTTTAGCAACATTCGTCTGATGGTGCACATTGACACATTTTCGCACGTCCCCGCTAACTAGCAGTATATACTCAGTGTTGCTTTTCTGTTCCATTGCTTAACAATAAGTGCAGTATTGCTGCATTCAGTAGCTCAGTAATAAAACTTTAACTTCCCCGGTGCATATTGTCATTCACAATCATCATTATAAATTAGCCAGAAGTGCTAGAAGTGGCTACGAAGATTCTGACTGACTGACTGTACTGTAGTCCTTACCGAAATGATAACGGCGATGAATTTATTTGGAATAGGAATTATTATTAATGTCACATTATCAGTAACAGGGTGGCTCCACACGACAAGTGCACATCGCGTAACATGCTTTCACTCACCTACGATACTTACGTCACGCAAACCAATTTGTGTCATAACGTCATCACATCACGGTCGATACTCAAGCGACAATCGCGGGAGAAAATAATTAGTTGGTAGTGCCGAAAGGAAGATTGTAGCGATCGATGATTGATGGTGAGCGGCGCCTGCGCAGATGATGTAGCTAAGATAAACTGTTTAATCTGTCAAACACCAAGCGGTCACCGGTGACCGCGGCCTATTGTTCTTTAATTGTGTCTATAAAACCGGTACTCGACGAGTTAATGATTGGACGATCACGAAGGCTGTAATGAAATCTCGTAATGTGCTCTTCACCCAGGGTTTCTATTTGTAACGAGTTTCTTTATGAGGTGGATGTGATTATTATGTCTTTAAGGCTGGACCTTACGTCATAATTCACTGGGTGCTGATTAAAAATACATATATACGTACAAAAGCAGTGTTGTTTTAAGTACCGTAGTAGCACAGTATAAAAGTTTAATAATACAGTTTTGTTACATGTCAAAGTCATCGTGTTGTCGTGTAAGTAGGTCCTACTGTATGTTAAAATCATGGAAGTACAGTTTATTTAAGCTGCATACTCCACACTGGTTGTAATGCAGACAGTAAGTACTACTGACGTATTACTTCTCGTGTTCGTTACAATGAGATGAGCGGAGCATTCTATTCTTTCCTTATCACTTTCGTGTTACGGCGCGCCCCGCGGCGCTGCTCGTCTGTATCGACACCCTAATTATATGATACCGAGTCTATACTTTCTCTATAGCTGCTGTTAATTATTCATATCGAGATTGATGGCTCCCACTAGCACACACTGCGGCCTCGATTGTGTCGCGAATATTGTGCTGGAATGCGACCTAGAATGTTTAGTGTTTAGGAGATAAAAATAATATAAATAGATTGGCAATATAATGGTAAATGTAAACATATATTTATATACACTAACTTGGTCATGCATCTATGCATATACAATTTAATTCGGTAAATACATAAATTGATTAGTTAATAATTGATACTACAATATTCGTCGTAATTTGAGTACCGTATTAAAAGTTTCAATAAAACCTTTGATCATAAGTTATGTTCAGTTTAGTATCTACTATACAATTAAGTGTAATAGTGAAGATGGACTGTTCAGCGCAAACTTTCCCTGTTTCAATTACCGGTAGTTCACAGAGGTCGCACGCGCAGTAACGACGTGCGGGGACCAGGATCGAGGCTTGGTTAGATGTTACATTGCGTTTGATTCACATACTGTGTACATAATGTACTCTGCGTCAGTTGACCTGATGTGTCACTTTCGTAGTCCTTTAGGAAACAAGAAGTTGAGACATGATACATAGATGCAGAGTACAAAATACTTTAATTGGAACTGTCGGAAGCAGGTTCCATCCAGCAGTGGCTTCTTGCGACCTTTAAAATACTCTTGAAAGATGTTCTGCAATGAATCTCTGGGGGATGTCTACGTTCAGCAGTTGTCTTAATTGTGTCTGATATGATAATGATGAAAGAAAGAACAACAGTTTATTAGTTATTTATGATGCTCCGCATTAAAAATTTTAACAGCAGATATGTGAACAGACTGCCTCGTTGGCCGAGTGGTAGCAAGTGCGACTGCCGGGCAAGGGGTCTCGGGTTCGATTCCCGGGTCGGGCAAAGTATTACTGGGTTTTAAAAAAAAAATCTTAGTAGTAGCACGGAGTCTGGAAATGTGCCCGGTATATAGCAATAGGCTCACCCCCTATTATATGGGACTCATAACATAAATAGTGAAAAGTTGGTGTTACTTCTGTGTGCACCTCTGCCTACAGGGATAAAAGGCGTGATGTTATGTTATGTATGAGAACACTAGAACAGTGTGATGATGTCAGTGGTTGTTACAGAAGTCCCCTGCTGACGGCGTTCCTGGCGCTGTCGCTGCTGTGCCTGGCGTGCGGCAACAGCGCCGCGGTGCTGGCCGCCACCGGCCTGCAGCGCGACTCGCTGCGCCAGCCCACCACGCCCGCCAGCTTCGAAGTGAGTACTACATACATACACAATATGTACTTAAGACTATCGGTCACTACTGGACTTGAGTGTTTCGTAAAACGGCGACCAGCTGATCTTAATTCATAGTCACTGAATTAGTCTACATTTTTGATAGAAACTCGATAGAATTTAATGTCAAGAATCGACCCTTCAAATATTGAAAATCTTGGATTAACTTCGGTTACTACAGCCGTTAAACGGTTCAGTTAAGGCAGGCACATGATAAACTGCAATTAATTACAATCTAGCAACAATATAAATATTAAGATATTAACTTCGTATACTGGAGCAGTGAGGCAGTAATTAATAAATCAGTATCAGCAACAGCCAGCTAGCAGTGAATCTCTCGAGTGACATGGACGTCAAGTCTTCCAGTCGAAGTACTAGTGGTCGAGATAATTGATTCAATTAGACGTTATCAACATTAGCATACAATTTGGTGTTGCATCGGCCGCGGCTATTTATTGGCCGTTGGGCAAGCACTCGCTTGCATAAATAACTGGCTATCAGTCGCGCCTATTTGTACTTTCATGGTACCAATGTACTGGAGAGGAAAATGTGCAAAATATTGTGCCACGGATAGTGTTTGTAGATTGATGCAGGTTTGCGATCATCATTCAGTCAGTACTGATGGGGGCGTAATATTTAAGTCATACCACAATAATAATCTGATTTAATAGACGTATTTTTAGATAATGCATTTTGCGATAACTGCACGGCAAAGTTATTTATAGTGGTTACAAACTTTTGTATTCAAATAAAATAAACAATACATCTGAAACCGTCTTTACCAATGAACCATTAAATTAGCCACATGCCACGGCTGTAAACCGTTACTTGAATAAATTAAATATGTCGTTAAGTACTTAGACTAAAGTACCGATGTCCACACATGTTACGCAACCCCCTCACTGCATGTTCTAGGAACTGCAGCTACACAAATTACTTCATTGCAAGTATTTCCTCACTTTCCACGTTTTAGTGTTACTTAGTAACTTCAAAACGTACGTAGTAGCGACACGTTTCGTTGTAGTCCTTTATTGTCCCGTAAACTGCGTTAGTCGTGTAATAATTTCAGTTTCATTTGTCGCCTTAACATAAATTCTTCAACAGAAACCAATACCAACACAACACATTACTTAACTGTTATACTCCATGTAACTTATTAATAAGTTCAGTACACAAACACACAATACTTGTAATTCAACATCAGTAAGTTTAATATAATCTGGTGCAAACGAGCGGATGTTGCGAGTGTCCAGTCAAGGTTGACATCAGCCGGCGTTGAACCCAAGACACTGCGATTACGTGTAATGACACAAGTCACGAATGACGGCACGATGATGTCTGCGTGACGCGTGGTATTGGGAGCTCTAATTACACTTACACAATGTGAACCAGTGCCTCATAGTTTCATACTACTCGTAGACATGTAGAAACCACATTTTTCACGTATTTTGTAAATTATATAGCTATGTAATGTGTTCGGTGTAGCTCTAAAGAATTTGTGTTATGATTATTAAACAACTAGCGACCCGCCCCGACTTCGCACGGGTGCAATATGTATGTATTATACATATAAACCTTACCTAAGACTCACTCTATCTATTAAAAAAACCGCATCATAATCCGTTGCGTAGTTTTAAAGATCTAAGCATACATAGGGACAGACAGACAGCGGAAAGGTTTCCGAACAGTTATTGAGTTTAAAGAATTTAGTTCTCAGATGAACATGCATTGCACAGAGTTCACTTACATGAGAAATATATTTAACATTACATATTTTAAAGTATCTATTGTCGCAGACTACATTACTGAGTTAATTTGAAAACCAACGAGTCGGCAGAGCATTTCGCCTCACGACAACTTTAAATAGTATTGTACCATAGATGAAGGGTACCATAACTATCACTAATGCTGTTCTTAAAGTTGATCGATGCTAATGACAGTAAAGTTGTAAAGCTGGCAATTTCCGACACTTGTGTATGTATGTATATCTGTATGTGCTTCGTGAGATAACTAGCGGGTGGGGTCATTGCCCTGCTGCTTCATTAAAATAACGTCTTACCAAGTTACCACACAAAACGTAACGGTCAGCAACTCAGTACTGACTAAGTAAGTACCTACTCAGTAGATACTCAGTGGATACTACACGAGACTGCTCTGTTAGATGGCTCAGTTGGACCTAGAATATAACACATAGATATTATTAAGAATTATATGTATACGAGTAGACAGTAAGTATGTTTCTCTGTACATGAAGCCAAATATATTTGTGGAAATATGAAGTAGGTATATGCACAAAGGAGGTATGAAATCGAAACAAGGTTATTAATAAAACTGAATACGCTGCAACACAAGGACAGCAAATCTTCTTAATGTAATATTTGGTTTGACGTTACTTAATTCTTAAGGCAAGGATGACAAATGTCCTGCGCCGCCTGCCGGACTTTGGTCGACATGTCTGGCAACATCAACCACACCGCATATGCGAGTTGTCACCGTATATGTCAGTCGACATCGGCCGGCTCCGGTTAACATATCGCCGATACGTGTCTTGGGACATTTATCCCCTAGTGTATCCCCTTTAAGGTGCAAAGAAGACATTATGCAACATTCAGTGTGAACCTTAAACATTATAATTTACAATATTTAGTTACATTGTGTTTGCACTTCACATGCATGTTAATGACTAACGGATATATGATATATGTCTAATTATCTTGCTGCTGTAGTAGTCGTGTTAAAAGATATTTGCGAGCAATATTGTTCAGGCGCCGAGCACATTGTTCCGCGCTCCTGTGGGAAGCAATCACTAATGCTAACGTAAACCTACATTACAAGCAATTAGACACTGAATAAACTATTCTTGTTAAATTAACATACATAATAAATTGCCATATCAATCTTAATATAATAAACATGCAGTGTAAATACAGTATTGTAGTTCGGTTTTTAATGATCTTCATAAAACAAGAGTTTAACTTTTCAACAGTGGGGCAATTTGTCAGTCAATACGGTACCAATGAACGAGTACCGACAACTTAATAAGAATGGTATTAATTAAATACACGTTATGTAGGAATGGTACAACTCAACACGTGTCCATTATAGTACAATACTGACAGATGATGGTTCACGGCTCAATCCGTAGCATGGTGGCCGCCAACCAGGAGGTGGAGGTCACCCAGTCCTTGGCTCGAGGCTGACGTTGCCTTCACTCCACAGCCGCTGATATTATGTATTATATCATTTTGGCAATTATGGCGAGAAGAGAACATCATTATCTTAACGATTAAACATTTCTTACATGTACAATTGTTTGTTTAATGATCTCTATCATTATCAGTCAGCTACTTAATTGGTTAGCTCATTCACATAGTTTAAAACTTCGACCGGGTTTTGGTAACGAACTGTGATCCCCAAGTCATTATAGCGTAGGAATTATGACAAACTATCCCTTAGGGAGGGGCAGGGGTATTGGTATTCTTTGTTCACTAGCAGATGTCTTTCGATTGTTGATGGTAATGTTGATGTGTTGGTTGTCAATCAGACGTGTTATAACAACACTGACGTGTTCTCTCTATCACAGGATGAGATGGAAGCATGGACACCGGTGCTCACAAACATCGCGCTGCTGATCATCGCGAGCGCGCACTGTCTGCTGTGCATCATCAGTATCTACCACCTGTCAAAGCGGGTGTGCCCCTGCTTCCGGCCCAAGCAAGCCTTCGAGCACAACCAGTTCGATCCTGCCTTCAAGCCCGTCCAGCAGTACGTGGTGACGGTGGACGAGGTGAAGAAGGCGCACGATGTGGAGCGCGTGCGCAACCACGAGCTCTGCAAGGAGTTGGAAGTGAAGCTACAGGGAGACAGTAATAAGAAGAAGGTTGGTCATATAATAGCTCTTGAAAGACGAATCTGACATCAGTCTTTATTTGTAGTTGCCATAATCAATGCTCGCATTATCGACTGAAGTAGAAATGAGTTTGTGTTATAGCAAAATAATTTGACAGGAGGAGCCAGAGTACGGCAGCGCGAACAGCAAAGAGAAGCTGGTGACGCGGTGGTTGGGGCGCCAGCAAGCGCCGGCGGCGGTACTGGGGGCGCCAGCTGCGGCGGTGCCTGCCGCCCGGCGCCGCGGCGTGCGCAAGCAGAGGAAGCCGCCGCCGCTGGTGCTGCTGCCCGCGCACCCTGCCAGCACGGTCAGTCAACTTATACTCTTTATTACTATCCATTTCATGTTTACATGTAACGATCCTAATCATTTATATTTTCTTAATAGATTTCGAATCGTATTACTTAACCGTATAATAAATCTCAGTACATATCTATATTAATTAACTATACAACATACATGTGTGTGTCCGTGTGTGTATGTGTGTGTGTTAATATTCTTGTCATTGAAAATGTTTTACTGTCAAGTTATCAGACGCGACGCGAAGTGACTCGCTACCGACGCCAGTTATACAATTTGTAACGTTTACTTAGACACTGAACGAAATTACTTTTCGGATCATTTGTTGACTTATTACCGGCAACTAAACGTGAAGCGCCGCGCAATACTTTGTAATAATGTTGTAGCGTCTGCTCTGTTCAACACATGTTTATACACATAACATCACGCCATTTATTATCCAAGGGAATGAAAGAAGTAAATTAAATATTATCATCCATTTTTTAGGGATGAAGTTATGACTCCCTTACCTTGTGGAAGAGCAAACGTTTTGCCTTACACGGTCCATAAGTTCCTGAATCCGTGTTGTTACTAAAAACTGCAGTTGTGCGAATAACGAAACAGTTTCAATTGAATATTAAATACGTGTTTATGATTGTGGGTAAATAGGCACAGTCAGTGAGTTATTCAAATGAGGTTCGTTGTATTTTTTAAAGCAGAACCGTTTAGTATCAGTTTAACTGAAATTATTGAGGCGTTACTGAAATGATACGAGTTTTTATGATAATTGCTTACATGAATTAATTACATGTCAACGACGTACCATTATACTGAAAATAATAATATTTTATCACTCGTATATCTGATTAATAGTATAGTAAAATATTTGTCATAAACGAAAATGTTTACCATCCGATTGCCATATAACACGAACTTAAACACCAAATAAAAATAATTGGTTGATATAATTTGTGCAACAAACACTACTTCCGAAGAGCCAACATTATCTAACACTTCACTAATTGCTCTATAATTAGCAATCATGGAACGGACATTTATTTATTTTCTTCGTTTTCCACATTGCGCACTCATGCTACCTCGTAGCAAAATGGCTACGAGCAAAACGCCCACACAAAAGACATCAACGCGTTGCGTTGAAAAATTAAACATAAAAAATTTACACTTATAGTGATTTTGACTGCCAATGATAAAAACTTTGATTTCGAACTGGTATGAACTATTCTTAATGTGAAGTGTTTAGGGCATGATAATCCTAGTGTTTACCATGTACCGTGACATTCAGATAACAATTAACCACTTGTCCTGCATAATTGAACGTACAGGTCGTGTGATGGGGCAGTATGAGGTTACATTGCCCAACCACCGTCACGAACGATGACGTAACACGAAGATGTGCGCACACGCAAGCACACTATACACATGTATTTATTACAAACCACTACAGATCGTGAGGTTTAAGTGTAATCTTGTAAACATTACTGTAATAACATACTATGAACATTCAATTTGATACACTAACATATCAAACCTTGGAATAGAAAACCTTTATTACATTACAACGTGTGTATTATCTTAATTAGGTATTTGTCGCCATCTTTGACCGTTCGCAATAATAATATTCAGCGCAATCAATAATGTACACATACGGACGTTCATGTCACGCATATTTTTAATTTTTTTATTTTAAAATATACAAATTAAACAGGTACGTGACCAGTCTATTAATTACACAACTAGAGATATAAATGCATCAGCCTAGACTCGAACCTGTTCTACATGGTCCTGTGGGTCGCAAAAACTAAATGATTAGTTATAAAAACTTGACACACGTCAGGTTACGAGTGTGTTCCGCGTTGCGCGTGCGCAGGTCCTTCCTGAATTGATTGATAAGCTGACACGCCCCTACTTATGTTACATAGTTTTTGTAAATGTACAGTTTTGTTTGTTGAGGGCCCAAAAAACTGAGCGGCTTCCGTCTTTAATTGTTTATTGATTCCACCTCGTTGTACACGAGCAACTAATGAAAATATTGACCAAAATAAGGAACATTTGTTTTTATAAAATGCACTTGATACTGATTTTCTGCGTCTTTTTGAGATCTTGACTATAAATATCTCATTCATTTTAATATTATCACATTATGTATGCAGACTCCTAGAATCTTGATCTCTATCTGATCGTGGCCTGCGTCGTTGTTTCCGCTACGTTTGCACATTTATAGTTAAACTTTTTATTTTAAAAGTTTAGCGAATGTTTTGTATAAAATTAACATAATGTGCAGTTCGTTTCTCTTTTCACTAAATATCACTCTGTTGTTGTTTTCTCTGTTGAACGGTAATTTTGGCAAAAACATAAAGAAACAAGAACAAACGGCCGCAAATATTTAGCTCAGTAACACCGCGTGCGCAGGCGCACCGCTCAGTAACAGATCTACAACAAACATTATCACTGACAATGTCCGGTAATGAACGTAATTTGTCAAACCGACACTATTCAACCATTCAACTGATGAATTATTATTGAAAAGTTTTATTAAAGAGTGTTATATTTTTTCTACACGTTTGTATGCCCTAGATGTCACCTACAAACATTTCCGTAGATTAAAAAAATATCTTCAATCTGCGTGTACGCATACAAACAGTACCTATATGCGTGCCACGTTATACCACTGTAAAACTTGCATCTAATAACAATTCAATTTGTCAGCAATAAGTTTGTCTTCATGTTACGGCATACGTGACAGTCTCAAACGCACGCGTTTTCATAAAACACCTCAAACAATTTCTTTTTATTTTACCTCAGTATGCGTCACCCTTCTTCCTTACATATAAAATGATCAAACGTTTTGTATGCGATTAACATAATCTGTTGCTCGTTTCTCTTTATCTTGTCTTACGCTTACATTAAAGTTAGATTCTAAAAATATTTCTGCTAATAAATTTATACAAAAAACAACATGTTTCCGTCAATGCGTTGATTTAACCTTGACTGTGCCGTGTTTTGTATCAAACGACTTTTTTAAAAGTTACCTTATTAAATTCTGTGATTAGTTTCATTGATCTACATTATTTTCCACTTACAACAAGATGGATGCCCAACATATTCCCAGGTTGAAGTAAAATTGTCCCGACTGTAACAGGTCTATATATACTTACAACTAGTTCACGGTTACAGACTACAAAGCAATAACTGGAGGAGACGATACAAAAAGAGATATGTAATGAATTCGCGCCACTCTCAGCCGCTGCGCGTACGCACAATAACTGCTCACTTTCGTCAACTGGCCATTGAACAACGCTAGGGTTGTCACTGAGGAAAAGTTGTCGAGATTATTTTACAACATAAGTTCTAAGTAACATTTTTTCGCAAATTCTGCGGAAGACGTTCATATCCTGATTATTATCATGTTTTAATTTAAAAATGAAGTAACGCTATTGAATCAAGAGGGGTGGTTAGACAACAATCTCGTTTATTTTGGAAGTAGGTAGCACCTGCACCCTAAAGGCAACGATCAGTATGCCGATGACGTCACAAATCTCAGCGGGCAGCACCACCGCTATGACAAATAGACGAGCTGCCCAGGCTGCTCGGGCTGCTCTCTCACTGAGGCAGGTCACAGTACAGTACAGTACGTCTGGCCAGTCAGTACATTTGTTGGTACTATAAGGTTATCAATAAGCAATACTTTTTCAATAACTTGTTAATTAATTATTATAACAGGGGTTCAATTCTTGAAAGATTTGGTACTTGAACACTTATAAAGACAAAAAGAATAATATGTGTGTGTAAATCAATGCACGTATTCGTTCCTCCAGTGGTGGTTAGACCTGGTTAATCTAAACATGTAGAATAATCATGAGGATCAGATCGAGTTATCATTAATAAAGTATCCAGTAGTGGTCAGTGAGATATTGATAGCCGCAGCAAGCAACGCCGCCCGCGCAGCGCCCGGCGAAGAATTCGCGTGTGTGTATGAGAGCGGAACGATAACAAAAAGCGCGCCGCTATGCGCCCGCGCCGCCGGCCGCTGCGCCGGAACACCGCACGAGCCTTCATTACCGGCTTCATTGATTGTAACCGATCACCGCATTACGACGAGCAGCCATCAACTCCTTCTTTTGTCTCGATCCACATCTTGTCTGTACAGTTATGGTATCTGTCGGCAATGTGCTGTGCCGAGCTGGACATATCTACTTCATTAGTTACAAAAGTTCCTGTTGTATCCTTTGTGATGTTCTGTCTTATTAAATTAGGATAAACAGTGACATACTTAAATATTGTGATAACGCTGATACCGGCAATCAGTTATCGTGCCTTAACTACTGCTAAGACTAGTGTTTACTAACACCCTGTCCGTGACAGACTGCACACAGAGTTATTGACAGCACAGCTGCGGCTCGTACTCGTTGCTTCACTTACTTCATTTAATATGCAATCAGACAACTGGCACGAATTCTTCTAATTACTAACCTCGATCATGATTTATCGATTGATTCCGATTAATAATTAACTTTATCAATCACTCATCAAATGTATTTCGACATTTCCACAACTTGTATCCGACTGATTGAGAATCGATTTGAATATAAATTAGCAGAAATATTCGCGAGGCTGGCAACACACTTTTAAAATATTACTTTATGCTAAATGTCAGGCTGAGGCGTGTGGAATCCGCGGAAATATTTTAGCACAATTATGTGAATGGAGGTCGAAGCTGGTCGACTATAAGTGGGTCACATGTGACTTGACTTATAGCTGCACTTGGTTTGGTTGATTGTAACTTGTCACAGGTTTGATTTCCCGCAGGTGTAGATAATGAAGTACCTCTAGATATGTATTGAAGTGCCAACGATATATTTTTTTTTTTTAATGGGACAAGCCCGCCACAACCTCCCAAAACCGCTGCAACTCCTGTAAGCCAGGATCTACAGTAGATACAACCATGAAAACACCGGAACACTGAAGTCCGCCAACGATATTGCCAAGTGGTGCGGTGGACGTGTGACT